CCATGGACCCCAAGGGTGTCCCCTTGACCCCCAAAGGTTCCTACCGAAAGTTCCTGGAGCATCTCTCCGGGGCCGGCAAGGCCATCGGCGTGTTGACCAGCGGCGGGGATGCCCAAGGTGCGCGACCACCTCCCCGGGCCGGGGCAGAGGGGGGACCCCGGGGGGAAGGGATGAAGGAGCGTAAATGTGAGGACCCGGGGCAAGCGATGGGGGTACGGGGAGAAGACAAGCGTGGGAGAGCTGCCCGGCTCCCGGGAAGCGCAGGGGTACCTTCCGGGGGCGCAGCGGGCTGTGCGGGCTCGGCAGTGACGGCGGGGGCGCGGGAGGGGAGGGTAAGGTAGCAGAATCCTTCATCAGCAAGGTCAATTAATTTTCCACCTCCACGTTTATTTTTTAAATTGAACCCGGCGACGGGGTCGCCTGGACCGCCCTCGTCGGTCATTCTGGATCCGACTCGTAGGATGGGGCGGAGGACCCCCTGAAACGGGGACAGCTCGGCCACCTCCAATGTCCCGGCTCCCACCCGGTGCCGTGGGAGGAAACGGCCGGTCCCCGAAGCCTGACCTGAGGACTCGTGCCCCCTGCGCGGCGCGGGCGGGGTCCCCGCTGCGGATTGTGGGACGCGGCAGGGGGCGCGGGGGGTCCCCAACCGGGATTGCCGGGCGTCAGGCACGCTTTACAATGACACCGGGAGATTTTTTTAAAAGGTTTTCCGCCGCTCTCATCTCCTTTCCCCTTCCGGCTCGTGACCAAACCGAAAACTAAAATGGGTCACTAGGCCTCCCCGCCCGCCTCCCTGGATGGGAAGGATCAGGAAGCGGGGGCTCCGGGACGCCCCCAGCGACGGGCTCGGGCTCCAGGCTTCCCCCCCGCCAACGTGGAGGCGGATTGGGGGGAGATGCGGGCCGGAGTCCGAGGCCCGCGGGCGCACCAAGAAAATATTTCAACCGAGTGGGGGAAGGAGTGACACGGCCACGCCCGGCAGTCGCCTTGGGTGCACGTGGGGGCTCAGGGGTGCGCAAGCAGTGGGCTTTCCAGATTCAGGCAAATCTCTGGGTGGTGCGAGCCAACCGCTAGCAAGGGGATCCACGTTTTCCAGGCGGATGTGTCCTTGGAGCCTTAAGGATCGTGCAGGCTGGCGACGTGTCCCGGAGCTGGCGTTTGGTTATATTTTCCCCTCCTTTGCAGCACACCCCCTCCCCAGACTAGTTAAAAGGCCCCGAGGCCTCATTTCCGCCTGTTGCGAGGCTACACACCAGGTGGAGGGATGCTTGGGTTAAAGGTCTGGCGCCCTCGCCCGTAC